CTAAGCGTCATATTTTAATCCAATCAAATCGTGCGTTATACATTTAATCCAATTACAACATATTCTATATTTCATCAACGTGAATTCGAATTAAGCATTTTGGTTGGCTTAAAATACATTTATAATGTATTTTAAGTTTTAAAATACATTTTACTTTTAAAATACATTTATAATGTATTTTAAATGCGACTTTTAAAATACACTTATAATGTACTTTGAAAGTCGTTTTTCAAATGTTGATGTTTATGTGATTGTAACAAATGCTAATATAAAACTGTTTTAAATTGAGTTTGGGCTAAAATTTGGGGGCCCATACCGGTATACCGGTATCAAAATTGGCCTGGATACGTCGCTGATATATATATATATATATATTATATATATATATATATATATATATATATATATATATATATATATATATATATATATATATATGTATATAGATTATATATATATATTATATACATATACATATATATACATATATATATATATATATATTTATATAAATTTATATGTATAGAGTAACTCAGTAGTATAAGATTATATATATATATATATATATATATATATATATATTTATATATATATATATATATACATATATATATATATATATATCATATATATATATATATATATATATATATATAATATATATATATATATATATATATATATATATATATATATATATATATATATATATATATATATATATATATATATATATATATATATAAATATATATATATAGCCTTCGGAATTAGGATTGGCAGGGCACCGTAAAGTGTTTGAGGTCAGAAAAAAATTGCCATCCTTGTTCTTAAACATAAACTTTTTGTGTCTGATTTTTTTGCCAACCAGATTGCAACCTCTAACAGTTTGAGGTCGGCAATTTATCGCTGACCTCATTTTTCCTAATTCTATGGGCAGTATAAGCCTACTCTGTGAAAGTGCATAGGGTCACACACCTTATACGACTATGCATACAGTATTTTGTTTTGACAACTTGGCCTCAGCACTTTGCATGTGTTGATAATTTACGTGTTTTTAAAAAATGCGCTGAAAAAGCCAAACTAATTTAAATATAAAATTAAGAATAAAAAAACCATAAATTGAAAAGAGAAACAAACTTAACAAGTAATAAAATAAGTAAAGAACAAACCAGAGAAAATAAAGGTGTAAAACTAAAATATTTTAACTGAAACTAAAATATTCAGATCCATCTCAAATAATTGTTCAAACTTAATATAAAAGTGTTTCCATTAATAGTTTAAAGCTAATAATTTTTCCTTTATCGCCACGTTGATGTAGTGCATAAGTTGATTAATTGTGTCATTTATTAGATGTCGGTAATTGCATTATGGTGACTGTTAAATCAGCATTGGTGGAGGGTTAAAATCCTGTTAACAAATAATTTTTTTATATGTTTTATTTGCTTTTTAGACATTAGAAAATATTAAAGTTTAAATTTTTTAAATAACTAACTTTAGAAGTAATAAAGTTTAGATTAAATAACTTTGATTAAAGAGTCTTCAATTTTTTCTGCTTTTATTTTTTCTGGTTTAATTTTTATTCATTTTATCATTCATTAAGATTTTTGTTTTTTAAATTTAATTTTGTATTTTTTATTTATTTTTTAATTCTCTTTACAGTTTATAGTTTATTTATCTTTAATTCTAGTTTTACATTTGTTTATTCAGTTTTACATTTGTTTATTCAGCACATAAACGCATTAATTTAAAACATGTAAGGAGCTGTGGCCAAGTTGTCAATACAATATATTATATGTATGATCATAGAAGGCATGCAACTGAGTCTCCTGAGAAGGCTTGATAATATTATATTGTAGCAATTATGTAAATATTTCTTGGTAAAGGGTGCTCAATATCAAAGTAGAGCAATATATAGTAAAAACTAAATAATTATAATATTCAATTTATTTTAGGCGTAACTCGAATTTCATGCAAACTTGCGATCATCAGATGTTACAAATCTTAAAAATAGCGACAAAAAATTTATTAAAAATAATGTTGTGTGTCTTCTTTGATTGCATTAAAGTTATTGATCATGTACTTTTTTAACGACAACACTTAGACGCAAGTTCATTTTGTTAATCTTGTGGGTTTGTTTTCACATTGCATATATAAATGATATTTTTACTTCCCATTAAATGGACATAAATCAAATATGCTTATGATTATATAATGGAGGATTAAGGAGTATTTAATACAATTTGTTGTTGTGCGAAGTGATGTTGCCAATATTTGGATAACAACTTTTAGAGTATTATAGCTAACTTTTAGGTTATTTTGGTTAAACAGTTTATGGAACTTATGATTTTTTGGGAAGCTTTTATCAAATAAATTATGGAAAAGTTTGGCTATGTTTTGATTGTATATCTTGACTGTAATTGAAAATAGTTAGTTAAAACAAATGTTTCGTGCTGGTGAATTTGTAACTTTTGTAGAGTTTTTGTGAACAGCAGTAATGC